CCTTCTCTCCTTTCTTTGCCATTTCTTTCTAAACATGACTTCTCTCAGAAAACATGACTGGTCACTGTATATAAGAATTTGCCTACTTGGTACAATGGTACAATGTAGACTTGAGACAACCCAGCCCTTATTGGGAAGGAAATTGTAGACAGGCTAAGTAGCACTCTTGGGGGTTTCACCAGAGGTCGGATTACATACTGGGTGAGGGAATAATTGTTTAGTGACAATATAAAAGCCATTAGCAGTAGTGTGACTTTCTAGCCTCATCAAATTTAGCCCCAGGTGGAAAGAGACTCAAGAAGCCTGAAAAGAAATGGAATAACTTCAGTGTATACTATACAGTAAGGGTCAAGCTCAGCATCCCTTTGGAAAAGTGAAGGGGCTGTTGATTGAACCCATGACCTCACATGCTAAGCAAGTCTTTCTCTAGTGAGCTATACCCCTAGCCCTCAGTACCTTTCTGGACAGTCTTCTTCCCTAGCCCCTGCAATACCAATTTCCTTTAGTCTTCTAAAGTTTTGGTTTTCTTTTCATACCTCCCTTTTCTACCAAAATTTAAAATTATATTTCTCAATTGTAATTTTTTATTTTATGTATTTGGGTGTTTACATGCATGTATGCCCATGTACTGCTTGAGTGCTGTCTGCAAAGACAAGAAGAGGATGTTGGATTCCCTAGAACTTGGTTACAGACTGTTGTGAACTGTCACGTAGGTACTGGGAATCGAACCTGGGTCCTCCAGAAGAGAAGGCAGTACTCTTCACTGCTGAGCCATCTCTCTAGACCCCCATCATTATTTTTTACTAGATATTTTATTTGTGTGTAGGGAGGTCACAGGACCTCTGATCTCTACACCATGACCAGGCACGCACACAAGCACACATACACAGCTATTTTGTCCAGCAATGAGAAAAGTAACAAACATTTATAGATGACAGGCACTGCAGCTGCTGCTGTGCAAATGAGACCCCGTGGATCATCAGCCTGGAACTGGTGAGAGGGAGGATTGTGGAAAGGTTAGGAGCTTCAGACTAGAGAAGCCCTGACGTGCTACAGTCAGAGCATACGGGTCACTCTACAGGAAGTAAGGAAGATCAGAAGGAGGAAAAAAGTACGCATGGCAAACATTGGGTGAGGGGAATGTCAGAGGGGAATAGAGACAGGAACAGAAGATTTCGGGGAAGACAGCGATCTGGAAAATCAACTGGCACATTCTGTCTGTCTTTAAGTGAGAATGAATTTTAAAATAATGGACTAATGCTTTTAGGCAGCAGAAAATTGATGGTAGCGCATTTAGATAGCAGTAAGGTTATGGTTCTCTGCTCTCAATAGATTTACAGTGAAAGACAGCAGAAAATGTGGGAAATGTACATTTGGGCAAGAAAAGAAGAATGAATGAATTTCAAATTGAGGACAAAGTAGCTGAAGAAAAGGTGGCAGTAATGGCTAAAGAAACCAGGGTCATAGAAGAGTAGCTTTGGAAACTCACAGTGATTGGTAGCCTGGAATGCACTTATACCACACTGCGACAATCAAGAAGAGGACTGTGCACATCACCTGTCAAACCCCGAAGGTGTGAAAACAGAAACCCGTGAGAGTGTTTAAGTAGGTAAGAACCTCCAGGGTACACGCTAAAGTTGGACTGGCTGGAGAAGGGACTTCTCAGGTTCAGGTAGAATGGCACACAGAAACTCTATCACCTGTGGTCCAGCAGTCCAGTGGTCCATGGTATATCTTGAGCTGTCAGTTGAACTTGGGGTCGTTATTGACATGAATGTTGGCAGGAGTTTTGGGAACATCAAGGTACTAGAAAGTTGTGGCCGGGCAAGGTGCAGCAGGGAGTTTCCCTGGACATTCTTAATGAAGCATGAAACTGAAATTGAAATCTGTAAGTCACAATAGCAATCTCAGGAAACCGGAAATGTCAGAAAAATGAATGTCTTCCAGGGATAGCTGAAGGGACTGAGTGTAGCGTCTAAGAAGGAGGTCATGTGTGCTTCAGGTGGCAGAGCTGGGCTAATAAGAATATACACGTCTGTTGATGCCATCAATGAGCTCCGGATCCAAGACAGGTGTGTAGAGTTTGGTATTTTTTCCTGCTGGGTTTTGATCTCGCTCTCTTCCGATCCTTCCTTGCTCTGTCCACACTTGTCTCCTTTGCAATGGGATTCTGTATGGCACTGCATATTTGAAACATTTAACACTTTGTGGTTTAGAATCGATTTTACAGAAGCTCATCACTAAATAGGTTGCTGTAAGTCTAGAAGAGACTGAGGTTTGGATTTTTGAGGTATTTTTGCATTGAGATGGCCAAACTTTTATGGGGTCAAAAGGGATGTTATAGTTTGAATGTGGAATGTCCCCAACTGACTCATGTTCTGGAACACTTGGTCCCCCAGATAATGGTGCTGTTTCCAAAGGCTGTGGGACCTTTGAGGAATAAGGTTGGCTGACAGAAATGAATCCTTAGATTTTACATTATCGTCTGACTTTGCTCTGTGAAGATTTCCTTTCTGATCTGCAGAGATGTAAAGGGGGTGTGCTGGATGCTCCCACCTCCTCTGAAAGCTTTCCCCACCTTGGACCAAGCTGGTACCAATTGCCATACCTTCCTTGCAATGCTGAACTATCATCCCTAACTCATAGGCCAAAAATAAATCATTTCCTAAGGAGGGGCATAAAAGAAAAGGATGTCAAAGTAGAATTGCATATTCAGCGAAAATTTCTTCAAAAAAAAGGTATTTTCAAATATAATTATGAGTCCTGGGCTAGAGAGATAGATAGCTTAGAGGTTAAGAGCATTGGCTGCTCTTCCAGAGGTCCTGAGTTCAATTCCCAGCAACAACATAGTTGCTCACAACCATCTATAATGAGATCTGGTGCCTTAATCAGACATGCAGGCATATATACATAGCAAACAAATAAACAGTCTTTAAAAAAAGTATGAATCCCACAAAACCACCAAGCTAACAGCCATAACATATATGCAGAGAACTTGATGCAGACATATGCAGACCCCATGATTGCCACTTTAGTGTCTGTGAGCCCATGTGAGGTGAGGCCTGCTTAGTTGAGTTGGTGGATCAGGGTGTCCTGGTGTCCTCAACCCCTTTGGCTCCCAAGAGAGGGACCTGATAGAGACCTCCAATTTCAGACTCTTTTTGCATAATGCCTGGCTGTGGCTTTCTGTACTTGCTTCCATCCGCTGCCAGAGGAAGCCTCTCTGATGATGACTGGACAAGGCACTGATCTATGAGTATAGCAGAATAGCATTAGGATCATTCCATTGATTTTTTTTTAAACCAGTTGTGCTTGGGTCTACCCTATGTCTCTGGGCTATCCAGTCTCCAGTTCCTAGACAACCAGGTAGTGTAGAACATAGGTTCCCTCTCTGACTATTTTGCCTGCTCTTGAGACTCTTCCTTCTCTTGGGTTACCTTTCTCAGCCCCAGTACAAGGGCTTTTGTCTTGACTTACTACATCTTGTTTTGTCCTATTCAGCCATTGTCTTTTGGAGGCCTGATCTTTTCTGAAGAGGAAACAGTCAGGAGTGGGTTTAGGGGAGGGAGAAGGAGGGGAAAAGCTGAGAGAAATGGGGGGAGGGGAAACAGTGATTAGGATGTATTGTATGAGAGAAGAATCTATGTTCAATAAAATAAAACAACAACAAATCAAATGAAACTATGATAACTAGATGACCACAATTACAATAGATGTTCTCATTTTGAGAAGAAAAATACTGTAAAAAGGGTTTGAATCTTCACACACACACAAAGAGTATTTAAAATTATATTATTAGTAAATACAAAAGATTATTTTTCTTACTTCATTTAAAGTAAAGATGCTTGTTAAAAAAATAAAAGACTTTGGATTTTATAATATTTAACAACTCGACGATTGTGGGTAGAAAATATGCCATACAAAGTGGTATAATATTAATTATAGTTAATTACAGTAACTTCATATAACTGACATAATTTAATTTGCAGAGGGTCAGCATTTGGAAAAAGTCACATAATACTTTTACGTTTCTTTGAATGTAAATTTTACCTCAAAACAAAAAATGGCTAAAAATGTAGACCTCTAGTCAAGGATGTATAAATTTAGCAACAAAGAATATATATTTTTGAAGCTAATCTTGGTATGTTTAAGATATTAAGGTAAGTTGGCAGATGGAGGGATGGATGAATACATGATGAAGCAAATAGTGAAACTGTAATTGCAGAATTACAATGGGGGAAGTGTGCGGGCTTTCTCTGAAAAATATTTCGACTTTCTGTTTGATTATGTCCATAATAAAACTATATTGAAAAAAAGAAGGCAGAGTATGAAAATCAAAAAGAAAACACTAGGGAAATGAAGGCTTAGAAAAAGACAGTCAAACTGAGAAAAGGGGTAGGTAGAGAGGGAGGGGAATATCAGCAGGTAAGAGAGACATCTAAAAGTGGAGGAGGTAGACAGAGGGAGAGGTCAAGGCATCATTCACCAAAAAATAACAACTAACTAGAGGAAAAAAAAAAACCCACAGCTTCCCTCTTATTCCACCAGCATGAACTCAGTCTAAGCATCACTACTATAACCTAGCACAGAACACATCACATGGGAGCCCTTGACATACACCTGAAGAGTGATGAGTACATAGTGTGATTCATGGCGTAATATCCTTTTATTAATTAACTCTGAAGATAGATTGAGATTAGGAAAATAGTTAAGACCAAGTATTTCAGAAACAAGGAAGTAAAGACTTCCCTAAGTTCTAGGGAAGTGTGACTTTTAAATTCTGACTTTTTTATATTCTAAATATTTAAAGGATGTATTGAAACTTTATTAACTAAGTTTTAAAAATGAATCAAATGATAAATGGTATACAATAAGGCCAGTTTTGCATAGTATATTAATAGAGTAACAAATCAACACTCTTTTCAAAGTTCCAAGAAATGGGAAGCTGGTATTGGTTTCCAGGTCAGATTTGACTTTGACAAAAGAATTTCCGAACTCAGTTCAAGAGAAAAGGAAAAGTTTTAGTTAAAATCTTTACAATAAAATAATTACGATTATAAATCTCTTTAGTTAAATATGCATACATTACATGGTATTTTAAAGGATAGAAATGGATCGTTTTCAGAGAAATCTAATGCACAAACACTCCACCTTAGAGAGCATATGTCAGTTTAACATTGTCTACAGCTGTGTAATACAATGGCTGTTTTGTGCAAACATGATGAGCAAAAGTGAGAAATATTCACCAATATTAGTTAGTTTTGAAATTTCTAAACTAGAAAACAGTGAAACAAAAAGAGGCTGTGCACTCCAGCTTGACCGCATACAGAGGCTGAGAGACCAGCATTGATGCAGCCCCCATTGCTGCTAAGTCCTTTCCTGGGTAGCCTTAGTCTGGAGTAAGAGTTGAAGTACCAACAATTGTGCTTTTATGCAGCCACATGGCCGATAAGGTAGATGTTGTCATAAAGGTGTCCTACAAAATCTTCACTAATGTTCTGAGCAGCACGGCGGGTATTTCGAATAAATTCTCTTTTTGACATTTTATTCTTCACATGGGGACTAGTGAGGTCAATGGACAGTAGAATCAATGAGTAGCACAGTACATAGACAGCATCTGAAGGAAAAGGAAACACATTGGTTATTGGTTTGCTCAAAATATCACTGGTGCTAAGGAGACAAAAGTTCCTATCACAAAAGATCATACAGGGCGGCCAACCCACCCTGTAAGTCTCGGCTTTTCTTCCAGGTTAGTCTTCAAAGCTCTGGGAAACTGCCTATGACCAGGCAAACCGAGGTAAACTCAGCCAGTCTGATTACCAAGGAAACCAGCAGTCTCTCCAGTTCAAAGGAACGTCAAGATTTTTAGGAGTTTGTTGTGAAAATACATTCCAGACGTTAACATTTCAGAATTTGCTCTACTTTCATTTTCAAATGGGATATTTACATCCAACTATAATTAAAATAAATTCTACCACCAGCTTATCATCTTGATTTAAAAAAATCAAGATATTTATTTACAAAGAATGCTTTTTACAAAACCTAATTTAATTTGAGAGTATTTTTAATGGCATGAAATATATTTACCTTGGCACTAAAAAGAGATTGCAAAACATTTTTAAGGTTGTTAAATTACTATTCACATTTGAGAGGTGTACTCTGAACGTGGGTGGAATCTGTATATGACCTTCAAAAATAAATCTTTAGGGAAAACATTGCCCTGCTTGAGCACATGCAACAAAGGAATTTTCTTTTTTCATATAATCACAGGGTGCTTAAGATCACAACAGTAGCAACACTTACGATATTTATAGTATTATACTATTTTAGAATCCTGAAATCTTATGTTATATGTTAAATGTTATAAATGTTATATCTCATGAAACATACTCAGCAAATTTCATATGACAGGCATGTTTTGTTCTGCAATCATTGCTTAATAAGCCTAATCTTAAAAAAAATACAAGTAAGTCTATAAAATGAAAGTACACATATGAGACTTGAGAGCTAGCATGCGTATATATGTACACACAGTGAAAATTAATTGTATTAAAACAAATTTTAGTGGAAAATATTGTTATCTATGTACAGCTTATTAAAAGCTTCAAAAAACTTTACATCAGCTGGTAAAAAATAACAAATAACTTAAAAAATTGACATAGTTAGTCTTAACTTCTTCCTATTGCTGTGCATCTGTTATGTGCAAAGGGTAAGTGCACGTCCTTCTGAGTGTGCACCCATGCCATCCCTGTGCAAAGGGTAAGTGCACGTCCTTCTGAGTGTGCACCCATGCCATCCCTGTGCAAAGGGTAAGTGCACGTCCTTCTGAGTCTGCACCCATGCCATCCCTGTGGCAACACTTAAACAAACATTTACAGTTTGTGGAAGTATTTTCCCCACAGTGGAAAAAATGCCTCATATTATGATTATTTTTCCCACAGATGGTAGGGATTGGAAAAATAATGCAAAACTTGTGCATGCGCGCACACACACACATACACATTCACACACACACAGAGTTATCCTTACCAGGACTAAGGCCAAGTTCTCTCATTAGGTCAGGATTACAAGCACAGAACCTATGTGAGAACTTTGTTATAAGAGTTTCAAGGTACTCCCCACGTTCCTCAGGAGCATGAATATGACGAAAAAATTCTCTCAATGCATTTGGCAAGAATTGATTCCTAAAATTATGCAAGGTTACAAGGTCATCCAAGACATCTCTCCTAAAGAAGGAGAAAAAAGGTGAAGCTGTAGTTAATATTTCTAAAAATATTGAAAAATTAAAATTTGTCATTTTTGTATAAAATATAAATCATCATTGATTACTGTATCAGTTAGTCCTATAAAGTATATAATATCTGTACCCTTTAAAAACATTAAATATAATCATTTACAAAGTTAAGATACTTTGAACCCCTGCACAAACAGCCTAAAACAAGATAAAGTGAAATATGGAATTTTACTTAAAAATAATATACTTATAAAATAATTCTACTTATCAAAAATTTGAAGTATAGAAAGTGCTACTGAGTTGGTATAGTGACACTCGTGAAGCTGAGGCAGGAGGATCATGAGTTCAAGGCCAGTCTGGGCTACACAGAGACAAACACCCTTCCCGCAGAGAAACAAAGAAACACTGCTTCTTTACCAGTCAGTGCCTTCTGATCTAAGCCAACCAGAAGTAGAATTCATGCCCTTTAAATTAGAAGGAATCTTCCTGTACTGAACCAAGACACATTTTCAGAGGTAAGAGCTATTTATGTAGACTTCCAAAAACACCCACATAGAGTATATACACACTGCTTTACAGTCTGCTCCTCCTTCCTCATAGTGTTCATTGTACATGGTTTTGTCTTTACAAATAGATTCGCTTCATTCTTTTCAGTGGCTGCTCACCATCCCAACATATGGTTATAATAATTCTATGATATATATTTAAGTGTTTATAATTATGTAATTATTGTATCATATATAAATATATGTATATGTTATATATTTTAACCTATAGAATTAAATACTCTTTGTGACAACATTCTCTAATTGTTGCTGAACTCAAACTTGATTATATGACCATAGCCTTCATTTTGACCAATTGCTTATGACAAGACTAGGCAAATACAGCAAGTAGGCAAACTCTGGCCCACTGCTTATATTTGTAAATAGAGTTAATGGAATACGGCCATACTGCTTTGTTTATAGTTGGCCTGTGTCTACTTACACAACACAAATGGCAGAGTTAAAGCAAATGCAACAAGAGAGCACAAGGTCAGCAAAGCTAAATATGTACAGAAAGATCTACAGAAGAAGCACCAATCTCTAGGTCTCTAGCATTTAACGACACAGTAGCAAGGACAACATCTTTCATAGGAGACTTCATTCAATGACAAGAAAGCTGATGTACATGCTCTCTTAATATTTTCATGTCTCCAATTAGCTAAAATATAAGGGTACAAGTGAATAATTACCAGATGAGAATGCAATATGATCCATTATCTCTACCTGTGTGATCGACATACTTAATGTCACCTTTTTAGACATATATATACACACACATACATGGATGTTTCATCTGCATGCTTGTCCGCACCACTGAGGCCAGAAGAGAACGAATGATCTGGAACTGCAGTTATAGACGGTTGTGAGTCACCATGAGCGTGCTGGGAACCATACCTGGATCCTCTGCAGGAGCAGCACGTGCTGTTAACTGTGAGGCATCTCTCCAGCTTCACCTTTTCAGACTTTGTAGACATGTGCATAATGTCTGTGCAATATTATGCAACTATCCACAACCCTTAGAGTCCCTAGGTTCTGCAGTTTACAGTTTCTCTTTACAATAGATTTTTAAATGAACAGTTTCAGGATTTAGAGCTTCTGGTCACCTAAACACTTAGTTCATGGCTAACTATTAAGTTAGGGCGGCAACTTCCACAAAGATGATACTTGATCTTAGATTGCGTCCCAGGGATGCTGGGCTATCATTTTGTATCTATTTATGTTTCTGAGACAGTGCCTCACTCTACGGCTGTGGCTGGCCGCAGCTCTGAGATCCTCTGCCTCAGCTTCTGATGCTGTTATTACAGATATTTATAAGCTTATGTCAGACCACACGTGGCATCTGTTACTTTCATGATGACAAGGTTTCATTAGCATTCGAAACAAAAAGTCTAATCAATTGTAAGACATAATAAACTTTTTTATGCTTTTACTCAGTTTTACAACTAGATTGTTCTATGTACTATAGCGTTTAAAGTAAAAGTTAAAACATTACTTAACTCATTTCTGATAAAAATTTAATTTTTGCTTTACCTTTCATCAAGGTAGATTCTCAGTTTTTTCCAATTTAGTGTTCTTGTACAGAAGATAAATTTTGCTATTTCCTTTGGCGAATCATCTAGGATACCCTTGGACATAAAGTAGCTCACTCCCTAAGGCAGAAAGACAAGTCTACATAAGCAAAGTCAGCCTTGGTTTATAAATTTTAGTAATTAGGCAATTGCAGAACCATAGCTACAGGTTCTTTCCAGCATTACTATAATGTTCATAGCTTTAACATGCAAAACACAAACTGGAGCCTGAGCTACAACTAGTATGTAGAGTTGATAATTCACATGCAATGAAAAGTAGGAAATTCAAAGTTGAGATTCATGAAGAGATCCTATTTTCTGGCTCATGACAGGTAATAAGTATATAGAAATATGGACTAATTTAGGAGGGATGTGGACACGCCGTGATATAGACTATAAAATGAGCTTTGTAACAGATACTTCCCTTTCGTAATAGAAAGCATAATTTTTTAAAGCTCAGGTATGTACTGTGGTATACATTTTAAGAAAATAGCTTTTGTAGAAAAAACAATTAGATTCTCCAAATGGAAGGAACACTAACAACTTCTTTCTGGAAATAAAGGTAATTACATTATGTAAGTTACAGGGAAGAAGGCCAAACTCCAGGTCAACTCATGGGTTTTACTACTTTGGCTTTGAGCACTACTACATTTTATAAGCATCTAGTTAAAGTACCACTGAGAGAAAGCATGTAAGACAAAGCTTTCAGTTGTACTTGATATGTTTCTCTTTGAATTTCCTTTTCTCTGCATGCAGAGTTGTCCAGAGAAGCACTACCCTCACAATTGTGTCTACTTTTCACTTATAAATCAACAACAGAAACATCAACAGCAAAAAACTAAACGCTGAAAGCAATGTTCTTGCACATATAGGAAAGTCACATTCAAATAAATGCCAGATTCATTTGAATGTGCAGTTATTGAAATAAAAGGCAGGTGTGTTTATTTCAACTTGTAGTTCTCCAGATACATGCATTCCCATGAATCCATGTGTCTGGATACTAGTACAATGTGTGCAGCTAATTGGCAGAGAAAATGACATATAATGTACATGCAACATACTGTTTTCACACATAAATTCCTTCAGCATTTCTTCAGTTAGAAATATTGCACGCATTAGAATTTTAAGAGTTAGAAGAATTTTTATGAAAGACTCTCAAAGATAAAAATGTTCTCATTAAAATTTTGCATTAAAAATTTTAAAAAGCAATTTGGTACCATGAGGTAATGCTTTTGAAATGTTATAATTATCTACAAATTGCAATTTGAAGATAAGGGTGTTTATATAAAGCTGATTTTATGAGCCAACAGAATCTTAACAGCAACATTATCAACTTTTCATGTGAAATGTAGTCCTATAAAGCAATGCTAAGGCAGCGACTCTAAAATGCGCACAAAAAAGAGCAGACAGTGATAGCATGAGGCTTTCCTGTCAGTTTCGGCTGTATTCCACTGGCTCCTTGGAAACAAAGGCTACATGATGTACTGTGATCAAGATAGAAAGCCTTTTTTTTCAGAGGCAGTGTTTGAGGGGGTGGGTACTAGACAAATTTTAATGCTTGTTCCATCCTTTCCTCCATTAGTCTGAATGATTGAGAGTTGACTGTATGTTTACTTGATCTAACTAGACAAAGGGAGTCACGTTTGTTTGCCAAATGGCTCTATGTAAAACTGATAAAACTATGTTAGAATTATTGCAGTGTTTTATTTTAACTGAAGTGGTTTAAAGAAAAAAGAATGTTTATTATACATTACAATACTTTATTCATATCAAAATTACCATTTAAAAGATAAAAAATTAATTCTAGTCTCCCTGTTAAAATTACCCAAAAATAAATTTATACTTTTTCTAGATAGAGTGTGGTGACTTTTCAACATCATTTAATACTATTTAGTTATACTTAATATTTGGTTCATTAAGTATCATAAAATATATTTAATAATAACAATGCACTGTTGGTCATTTCTTTTTCATGGAATGTGTTTTGAAAACTTACATTCTAATATAACTTAAGTTCTCTAAAATAATTAAATGAAAAAAGTAAGCATAGATAGTAGTTTTAAAGACAATCCTGAAACCTGGAAAAACGATCTGAAATAAGCCAACTTTATTGTTTTGAAGAGGAAAGGAAGCAGGTGCCAGTTTCGAGGTTGAGCTTTTCTGGAGCAGGCAGGTCAGTCCAGGTAAGCACAGGAGGTATAGGCAGCAAGCACAGGGATCAGTTCACATTAGAAGCATATAAGAAACAGGCTTGCAACTATAGCTCGGCTACTCAGTCAGTCTGTCATCTGCTTGGTTCTTCTTCCTTTTTGCTTTTCCAAAACAGACTTAGGTTTCAAACTTACTACTTTAACTTCACATTTATTTTTTTAATCCCATTGCTTATTAAACTTTTAATTCCTAATATAAACTCTACTCTGTCCCAGTTTCAGGGTTATTAAGTTGCTGTGATCAGAGTGCAGTCGTCACTGGTGGAGAATCTAAGATGTATCTGTTAGGTGAGTGCATTGACCACATGGTGCAGTCGCTAGTCGTCACTGGTGGAGAATCTGAGATGTGTCTGTTAGGTGAGTGCATTGAGCACATGGTGTTCAGTCTTGTAGTGAGCTGCCCCAAGGCATAAAGATAAACTCAGAAATATTAGCCAAAGCAGATGTTCCCTAAAAGTATTTCTGAAGAAAAGTTACCATGGGGGTAAATAAATCTATATAGAAAAACAGACATCATGCCTAATATTTCTTCAGAAAATGATAAACTCATAATGTTTATACTAACCTATTTCTTTCCTGCAACTCCCCTTTGTAGATGAGGCTGGCCTTGATTCCAGAGATCTACCTGCCTCTGCCTTCTAGGTGCTGAGATTAAAGGTGCACACCACCACTGCCTGGCTGAAAAACCTATTACTATTTGGTTCATAAAAAAGTTCTCACAAGAATTCACCCCTAACAGAGGCTCTAGAAGGCCATTATGGGCACAGGCACCTTGACTCACTAACTGAGCTATGTAATCAGCCCAAAAGAATTAGGGACATTTAAGGAAATATCCACTTAAACTTCATAGTTGAATATAATGAATACCCAGAGACTACTTTATAAAACAGATCCATGTGCATATTTACATATTTTTCTATATACATCGATCTTAAAAGTTTACATAGGTATGGTATTCAGTAGCAGGTTTTACCCAGAGAAGAGACATACAGGTAAATAACAATACACCCACAAGACAAATTAGTGATACAAGATGGTTGAATAAAGCTTAAATGAACATGTAAAATAAGCATTTTAACAGTTCAATGCCAGAAATAATTACTAGGAGCTAGGACACTTGAGTGAAAAGGTCTCAATAGCTTTGACAGGGAGAAACACTGAAGAAGACCATCTTAGTTCATATTGTATCAAGAGAGTCAAAGAAACACAATATACCAAGTTAGGCTGTTTTTAGGAGAGAGGGAAGTATTAGATATTTGAGAGCAAGTCTCAAACTGGATTTATAACATTATTTAATTTTATGGTAAGATTTGTATATTCTGTCGACATATAAGTGAATACCTCTGAAGGTTATATAACAAGGAGAAGCAATAGTCTACAATGTTAATTTGGCAATGTAACAATCCTTTCTTACTATGGTTTGGCTTTCTGGCCTGTTATTTAGTCAACCTTGATAAAAAAAATACAAAATGTGGAATTCCAGAAATATTTCCTAGAACTTCTTAAGTTTTAAATTAATCAACATACTTAAGAGTGTGAAGTCACAAGCTTCTCAGTCCAACCTCATCTGATATGCATCCCTCTTGTATCTGATACAAGTTCCATGCTGGCTATGAGATCAATTTTCCTTGTGTTACTGTACTTGTGTTTAACTGATTTGTATTTTACTTAAAAGTGCCTCCAAAGCATAAATCCACACAACGTTAGCAATGCTAGCAAAGGGAACCCAGAAAGGTATTGCTTTTAAAGAAAACATGCAAGTACCATAAGTCATATTAGAGAACACAGTCACATGCTTTTTATAACAATATATTTTGTGAGTTTTCTATTAATATTGTATCTAACTATTCCTCATTGATGAGTTATGGTTATAATAGTTACATATACATAGAAAAACAAGCTATATGTAGATAGCTTCACGACTGTACACACAGGAAGTTTCAGGGAATCTTGAAATGTGTACCCTGTGGAGATGACTATAACATAAAAAAATTAATGCAATATAAATTCCAATAGTCTGCAGTAGTTGGCTATCACAGATATCCAACTTTGAGCATGTAGAAAAACAGTAGAAGTAGGAAGTAGTAGATTCTAAAACCATATTTTAAAACTCTATATGTTACAGGAATGAAGTTAAGAGAGGAGCTTACTTGATAAATATGTTGGACATCAGTCCACAAGGTAATGAAAAGTGAAAGATAACCAATGTTTCTGGCCTGATAAAGAGAGAAATGACTATAAAAAAAAAAAAAACAGCAAAACAAGAGATAGGCTGAGATGTGGCTCCGCTGGTCTCAAGAGTGGTTGGCTACACACAAGGCTTTATCCCCATCAAGACATAAAAACAAACAAACAAGCAAAATTAGGAATGGCAGTGCACGTTTGCAATTCTGGAATTCAGGAAGGGGAGACCAGAGGATAAGGAGCTCAAAGGCCAATATGGGGTATGTGAGACCCTGCCTCAAAACAAACAAATGGGGTCTTAAGGCCTGGGGAGAACTCAGTGCTATAGTACTTGCTCATTAAAGAACTAGAACAAGAAATATGAGAGGTAAGGAAGATAACAGAAGAATATCTCAGAATCTAAGAGACTGAGATTATTTTCAAAGGTTTATTTGACATGTCTGCATGTATGCCTGCAGGCCAGAAGAGGGTGCCAGATCTCATTACAGACAATTGTGAGCCACCATGTGGTCACTAGGAACTGAACTCAGAACCTCTACAAGAGCAGCCAGTGCTCTTAGCCTGAGCCATCTCTCAAGCCCAGAGACTGAGATTTTTTTTTTTTTTTTTTTAAAAAAAGGATCCATAAAGACCAGTGCTAGGCTGGTGTGGTAGTCAATACTATAATCCCTGTAGCAAGAATGCTGA